ATACTATGAAATACTTTATATCTCCAAATACCCCAAAACCCCAAAACCCCAAAACCCCTACATTCAAGATTAATAGCCATGAAACAGAAAGTAGAAAATAAATAATAGAAGTAATGTTTCATGTAAGATAATATATTTGCTAGCAATTCAATCTAAAATTCATTAGATTACTTCTTTAATATAGGATCTCCAAATGCCACATACCGATATACGATAGCAATTAGAGATTATTTGAATGACTTTCATATTCACACTACTTATCATTATTAGGCAACACCTCACATAATTTGACTATTATTCTGATTAGGTGAGCTTTCTCCCTAACCGCCTCCTCTTGCCTTTGTACTGGGTATGACATTCTTAAGCAAATAGGAGCCAATCATTTTATTAGGTTAACTAAGTGCCTTCTCTAGCTCAGCATAGGCTTCTTTTTATATAGCTTGGGTGTTCTGTAACTTTTTGATAAGTTCCATCTCAAGCATTTCCATTTGCATAACCTCTTGTTCTTTCATTTGCTTTACTCTTCCCTCATCATCTACTCTCTTTTCTACGTCTCTCTTCACTGAATGAACTCTTCTTCTCTTATCGTCTTCAATTTTCAATTATGCTAGTCTCTTTTATTGAAGAATCATTTGATTTTTCATCTTATTCTCTTGTTCCACCTTCATGTTAATATGTCTCTTCTTTTGATCATTTTACTGCTTAATCATTTTAGTCTGCTTAACTTCTTCTAATTTTGATAGATATATCGCCTCTTGAATTTTCCTCTTTTCATCCTACCTCTGCTTTTAAATCATAAAGTTATTCTATTGATTCATCTTTTGGTTTTCCATATTGAGTTACAAGTCAACAACTTTCTATTTAGATAGGATTAATGAATGCTTATTGCATGATAGAATTTAGCTGATTGATTAAAGTGTGTATTTTACTTACCTTCTAAACTTTTTCCTCATTACGTTTTTTAAGATTCTGGATCTCTCCAGTTCTCTTTTTAGTCTCCTCAATCTTTTTCCATGTTTTCATTTCCTCTTGTTTCAACAAAGCAATGCGATTAGCTAGTAACTATGCATCTCTCTCAATTCTAAAATTGAAACGATTAATCACTGATCAATAAATATGTCTCATATTATAGTATTAATATGAGTGCATCTCAAATAAATGCAAATGCTATTTACTCTTTTCTGCGTCTTTTAACTTCTGCTAGAGATTTAGCTTTAGCATCCATTTCCTATGAATAATTCAAGCCGGCATTGTCATCGCCTAAACGATCAGGGGAGCCGTTTATAGACATATTGTTCATGTCTCCTTCACCTTCCATTATTAGTTTTCAGGTATATTAAAACTATTTTAATTTTTATTTCTAAATTTAATTCCTGATTTATCAACAATAGTGGATGGGGTTTTGGGGTTTTGGGG